CACCCAGCACGACCACCACCCAGCACGACCTCACCACAGCACGACACACCCCATAGCACGACCAGCCCCAGCAAGACACGCCCCAGCACACCCACGCCCCAGCACGACCACGCCCAAGCAGACCATACCCCCCCCAGCACGACACACCCCGAGCACGACCCACCCCAGCACGACCACACCCCAGCACGACCACTCCCCAGCACGACCACACCCCAGCACGACCACACCCCAGCACGACACACCCCAGCACGACCACACCCCAGCACGACCACACCCCAGCACGACCCGATCGATAAATCACAGGGTGCGGAGCACCCCAGCACGAACCCACCCCAGCACGACCCCACCCCAGCACGACCCCACCCCAGCACGACCACGCCCCAGCATGACCACACCCCAGCACGACCACACCCCAGCACGACCACTCCCCAGCACGACCCCACCCCAGCACGACCCCACACTAGCACGACCACACCCCAGCACGACCACACCCCAGCACGACCCCACCCCCAGGCTCGATCTCACCCCAGCACGACCCCACCCCAGCAAGACCACACCCCAACACGACCACACCCCAGCACGACCTCACCACAGCACGACCACACCCCAGCACGACCACGCCCCAGCACGACCACGCCCCAGCACGACCACGCCCCAGCACGACAACGCCCCAGCACGACCACCCCCCAGCACGACCACCCCCCCAGCACGACCAACCCCCAGCACGACCACCCCCCAGCACGACCACACCCCAGCACGACCACTCCCCAGCACGACCACACCGCCTTGGTTGAGTGGTTGCCTGTCGTCGTGGAATGTTTCGTGGGGTGTCTCGTGGAATGTTTCGCGGGGTGTCTCGTGAATGTTTCGTGAGGTGTCTCGTGGAATGTTTCGTGAGGTGTCTCGTGGGATGTTTCGTGAAGTGTCTCGCGGGATGTTTCGTGAGGTGTTGCCCAGTTGGGTATCATGAAAACGTGTCCATGCTACACGTGTCTATATCCCCTTTCCGGGGTTCGTGGGTCCATTCATGGTTTTAGATGCCGCGGGGACGCGATATATTATATATGTATATATTATTTATTTATATATATATATATATATATATATATATATATGTATATGTATGGACGAAACATAGGTTTTGCAGAATTAGGTGTTGTCGACATGTTTTCCGGATACTCGATTTGAGAACGTTTTTGAAGGATTCCGGCATGCGCGCGCGACGACGCGCGCGTGTGCATGCCGTTTTGTTTTAAACAGGCGTGTCTTGCGACAGCACGCGCGCAAGGGAGTTCGACAGATTTCGACATGCGCGCGCGTGGAGTACGTTTGCCCGCATTTTATGAACATGTGGAAACACATCTGTTTTTCCCGGAAAGGGCGTGGGCCCAGGGTTCTCTTTTAGTAGGTAAACCTGTCCCCCGGTGCCAACTTGAGGGAGGCCGGCGAATTTTTTCCCTGATAAATAACGAGGTCGAAGGAGGCCGGCGAATTAAAATTTGAGGATGTCTCGAGCGAAACGCTTGTTTTTGAAATCACGATCGATAAATCACAGGGTGCGGGCCACTTTTTCGTGTGTTGAGGATGTCTCGAGCGAAACGCTTGCTCCGCAGAGTTTGCCGAGGATGTCTCGAGCGAAACGCTTGTTTTGCAGAGCCGACCGCGACGCGGAAAAGCGCCCCGCGCGAAGGAATTTCGATGATGTCTCGACTAATTCGTTTGTTCCCGGAAAGGGCTTAAGCCCAGGGTTCTCTTTTAGTTTGTAAACTAGTCCCCCGGTGCCTGCTTGAAGGAGGCCGGCGAATTTTTCCCTGATAAATAACGAGGTCGAAGGAGGCCGGCGAATTTTTCCCTGATAAATAACGAGCCCGAGAATTTAAATTTGAGGATGTCTCGAGCGAAACGCTTGTTTTTGAGGCCGGCGAATTAAAATTTGAGGATGTCTCGAGCGAAACGCTTGTTTTTCAGAAAATGGTGAGGATGTCTCGAGCGAAGCGCTTGTTTTGTGTTATAGATTGTCCTCTCCTGGGGACCTGAATTCTGAGGACCACCTCCCAGCACGACCACCCCCCCAGCACGACCACCCCCCAGCACGACCACCCCCCAGCACGACCACACCCCAACGACCACTCCCCAGCACGACCACACCCCAGCACGACCCCACCCCAGCACGACCCCACCCTAGCACGACCACACCCCAGCACGATCACACCCCAGAACGACCACACCCCAGCACGACCCCACCCAAGCACGACCCCACCCCAGCACGACCACACCCCAGCACGACCACACCCCAGCAGGACCCCACCCCAGCACGACCCCACCCCAGCACGGCCCCACTCCAGCAAGACCACACCCCAGCACGACCACACCCCAGCACGACCTCACCACAGCACGACCACACCCCAGCACGATCACGCCCCAGCACGACCACGCCCCAGCACGACCACTCCCCAGCACGACCACCTCCCAGCACGACCCCCCCCCCAGCACGACCACCCCCCCAGCACGACCACCCCCCAGCACGACCACCCCCCAGCACGACCACACCCCAGCACGACCACTCCCCAGCACGACCACACCCCAGCACGACCCCACCCCAGCACGACCCCACCCTAGCACGACCACACCCCAGCACGATCACACCCCAGAACGACCCCACCCCAGCACGACCCCACCCAAGCACGACCCCACCCCAGCACGACCACACCCCAGCACGACCACACCCCAGCAGGACCCCACCCCAGCACGACCCCACCCCAGCACGGCCCCACCCCAGCAAGACCACACCCCAGCACGACCACACTCCAGCACGACCTCACCACAGCACGACCACTCCCCAGCACGATCACGCCCCAGCACGACCACGCCCCAGCACGACCACTCCCCAGCACGACCACCTCCCAGCACGACCACCCCCCCAGCACGACCACCCCCCAGCACGACCACCCCCCAGCACGACCACACCCCAGCACGACCTCACCACAGCACGACCACACCCCAGCACGACCACGCCCCAGCACGACCATGCCCCAGCACGATCACGCCCCAGCACGACCACCCCCCAGCACGACCACCCCCCCAGCACGACCACACCCCAGCACGACCACACCCCAGCACGACCACACCCAGTCGCTCCCCCGTGGAATGTTTCGTGGGGTGTCTCGTGGAATGTTTCGTGGGGTGTCTCGTGGAATGTTTCGTGGGGTGTCTCGTGGAATGTTTCGCGGGGTGTCTCGTGGAACGTTTCGCGAGGTGTCTCGTGGAAGGTTTCGCGAGGTGTCTCGTGGGATGTTTCGCGGGGTGTCTCGTGGGATGTTTTGTGAGATGTCGCCCAGTTGGGTATCGTGAAAACGTGACCATGCTGCGCATGTCTATATCCCTTTCCGGGTTCGTGGGTCCATCATGTTTCCCTGATAAATAACGAGGTCGAAGGAGGCCGGCGAATTAAAATTTGAGGATGTCTCGAGCGAAACGCTTGTTTTTGAAATCACGATCGATAAATCACAGGGTGCGGGCCACTTTTTCGTGTGTTGAGGATGTCTCGAGCGAAACGCTTGCTCCGCAGAGTTTGCCGAGGATGTCTCGAGCGAAACGCTTGTTTTGCAGAGCCGACCGCGACGCGGAAAAGCGCCCCGCGCGAAGGGATTTCGATGATGTCTCGACTAATTCGTTTGTTTTTGTACGATTTCCTGGAATTTTGGCAGGATGTCTCGAGCGAAATGCACGACCCCACCCTAGCACGACCATACCCCAGAACGACCACACCCCAGCACGACCAGACCCCAGCACGACCCCACCCCAGCACGACCCCACCCCAGCACGACCATACCCCAGCACGACCACACCCCAGCACGACCCGACCCCAGTACGACCCTACCCCAGCAAGAACACACCCCAGCACGACCACACCCCAGCACGACCACACCCCAGCACGACCACGCCCCAGCACGACCACGCCCCAGCACGACCACCCCCAGCACGACCACCCCCCCAGCACGACCACCCCCAGCACGACCACCCCCCAGCACGACCACACCCCAGCACGACCACTCCCCAGCACGACCACACCCCAGCACGACCACACCCCAGCACGACCACACCCAGTCGCACCCCCGTGGAATGTTTCGTGGCGTGTCTGGTTGAGTGGTTGCCTGTTCGTGGGGTGTCTCGTGGAATGTTTCAAAGGGTGTCTCGTGGAATGTTTCGTGAGGTGTCTCGTGGAATGTTTCGTGAGGTGTCTCGTGGGATGTTTCGCGGGGTGGCACGACCACGCCCCAGCACGACCACCCCCCCAGCACGACCACCCCCCAGCACGACCACCCCCCCAGCACGACCACCCCCCAGCACGACCACACCCCAGCACGACCACACCCCAGCACGACCACTCCCCAGCACGACCACACCCCAGCACGACCACACCCCAGCACGACCACACCCAGTCGCACCCCCGTGGAATGTTTCGTGGCGTGTCTGGTTGAGTGGTTGCCTGTTCGTGGGGTGTCTCGTGGAATGTTTCAAAGGGTGTCTCGTGGAATGTTTCGTGAGGTGTCTCGTGGAATGTTTCGTGAGGTGTCTCGTGGGATGTTTCGCGGGGTGTCTCGTGGGATGTTTCGTGAGATGTCGCCCAGTTGGGTATCGTGAAAACGTGACCATGCTGCACATGTCTTTATCCCTTTCCGGGTTCGTGGGTCCATCATGTTTGAAAAATGGAACATGATCAAAACAAAGTCACCGGACAATTACTACTGTTTTGGAAATTATTCCTCCTGTAGAGGGACATGCCCGACTTAAGGATAGTGGCATGCCCGACTTAACGATACAGTGCGGGCGCGGCCGCAAGAAACCCTCGCAAGAAACCCAACCCTGAAAACCCGCGCACAAGATGCACCTGAGGGGAAACTTGGAGCACTCTGAACGCAGCAGCTCCTTCAACGGCCGCGGGAAGTCGCCACGCAGCGAGCGGAGAGAAGAAACCCAGGATGCCCTGACGAAAAGTAGATGGTTTCTTGATGCGCGCCCCCACGGTAGTGACAAAGCGTCTGGGAGGACACAGGGCCCAGCGCCACCTTCCTCGGGACCCTTTGTCCTCGCGGCGTCAGCTCCACGGAGGGGTGCCCTGTGTCGCGGGTGCCCTCCGCTGCGCTGCGTCCTGGGGAGGGCGACCCCCCCAAACTGGCACCCTCTCCGGGTGCCGCTTCGAGCGCAAGAGCAGGGGAGCTCCCGGGGAGCTCCCTTCCTCGGCGGCTGCAACAAGGGCGGGCGGCCCAGGGGTGGGGAGACCTTTGGATTCCCATCGCTCAGCGACCGAGCGACGCTCGGGAACGCTGGCAGCCGATGGCCACCCCGCCACAGCCACCTCCTCAGACCCCTTCGGGTGTCCTGGACGGAGAAAGAGAGGATGTGGGAGGGAGAGGAGAAAGAGGAGGAAGAAAAGGAGGAGGAGGAAGAGGAAAAGGAACGTAATCTTGGGATGATGAAGTCGGATGCAGACGGAGGGAGGTGAGGAGTGAGGATAGGGAGGAGGAAGGAAGCGGAAGAAGGAAAGGCGCACGGAGATGTTGGGATAGGATGGTAGAGGAGGAGGAGGATGAGGGAGGAAGGGAGAGGGTTGATGAGGGGGGAGGCAGAGGAGGAGGAGGAGGAGGGGGAAAATTACAGGGGGGAGGGGGGGGAGGGGGACCCCCTGCGGATGCCGCGGCCCAGCGCCAGGAGAGCACCCTCGGCGAGGGGGGCAACCCTCCCTGTCGCCGAGCGGCGGCGCGCTCTCGCCGCGGCGGGCAGGCCAGCTGGCGAGGCGCGCGTGCGGGCGCGGCCGCGACTCAGCCCCGAGGCTTCGCCCCCGGCATCTGCAGGAGCTGCTCCTGGAGTTTCTTGTTCTCCTGGGGCGCGCCGCGCCGTCTCCTGCTCCGCCGCCGCATTCGCCTCCCTCCGTGCTCATCTCGTTCCCCATCCTTCTTCCTGGCTCCTCCTCCCCATCTTCCCTCACCCTCCTCCGCGCCTCCTGGTCCTGCTTCTCCTCCTCCCCCTGTTCGTCCTCGTCCTCCCCCTCCTCCTCTTCCCTCTTCCTCCTCATCCTCCTCCTCCGACTCCTCTCCTCCTCCTCCTCCTCCTCCTCCTCCTCCTCCTCCGCCTCCTCCACCTCCTCCTCCTCCGCCTCATCCTCCTCCTCCCCCGCCTCCTCATCCGTCACTTCCTCGTGTTGTTCCTCCTCCTCCTCCTCCTCCTCACAATAATCATCAGCAGCATCAGCATCAGCAGCAGCATCAGCATCAGCACCAGCATCATCATCATCATCATCATCATCATCATCATCATCATCATCATCATCATCATCATCATCATCAGCAGCATCAGCATCATCATCATCATCATCATCATCATCATCATCATCATCATCATCATCATCATCTCAACGCTATCCCGTGCCACACCCTGCAGCGTTCCATTTTTTCCCGGAAAGGGCTCGAGCCCAGGGTTCTCTTTTAGTTGGTAAACCTGTCCCCCGGTGCCAACTTGAAGGAGGCCGGCGAATTTTTTCCCTGATAAATATCGAGGTCGAAGGAGGCCGGCGAATTAAAATTTGAGGATGTCTCGAGCGAAACGCTTGTTTTTGAAATCCCGATCGATAAATCACAGGGTGCGGGCCACTTTTTCGTGTGTTGAGGATGTCTCGAGCGAAACGCTTGCTCCGCAGAGTTTGCCGAGGATGTCTCGAGCGAAACGCTTGTTTTGCAGAGCCGACCGCGACGCGGAAAAGCGCCCCGCGCGAAGGAATTTCGATGATGTCTCGACTAATTTGTTTGTTTTTGTACGATTTCCTGGAATTTTGGCAGGATGTCTCGAGCGAAATGCACGACCCCACCCTAGCACGACCATACCCCAGCACGACCACACCCCAGCACGACCAGACCCCAGCACGACCCCACCCCAGCACGACCCCACCCCAGCACGACCATACCCCAGCACGACCACACCCCAGCACGACCCGACCCCAGCACGACCCTACCCCAGCAAGACCACACCCCAGCACGACCACACCCCAGCACGACCTCACCACAGCACGACCACACCCCAGCACGACCACGCCCCAGCACGACCACGCCCCAGCACGACCACGCCCCAGCACGACCACCCCCCAGCACGACCACCCCCCCAGCACGACCACCCCCAGCACGACCACCCCCCAGCACGACCACACCCCAGCACGACCACTCCCCAGCACGACCACACCCCAGCACGACCACACCCCAGCACGACCACACCCAGTCGCACCCCCGTGGAATGTTTCGTGGCGTGTCTGGTTGAGTGGTTGCCTGTTCGTGGGGTGTCTCGTGGAATGTTTCAAAGGGTGTCTCGTGGAATGTTTCGTGAGGTGTCCAATGTTTCGTGAGGTGTCTCGTGGGATGTTTCGCGGGGTGGCACGACCACGCACGACCACGACCACCCCCCAGCACGACCACCCCCCCAGCACGACCACCCCCCAGCACGACCACCCCAGCACGACCACACCCCAGCACGACCACTCCCCAGCACGACCACACCCCAGCACGACCACACCCCAGCACGACCACACCCAGTCGCACCCCCGTGGAATGTTTCGTGGCGTGTCTGGTTGAGTGGTTGCCTGTTCGTGGGGTGTCTCGTGGAATGTTTCAAGGGTGTCTCGTGGAATGTTTCGTGAGGTGTCTCGTGGAATGTTTCGTGAGGTGTCTCGTGGGATGTTTCGCGGGGTGTCTCGTGGGATGTTTCGTGAGATGTCGCCCAGTTGGGTATCGTGAAAACGTGACCATGCTGCACATGTCTTTATCCCTTTCCGGGTTCGTGGGTCCATCATGTTGCTGTGTGGGCCGGGGGCCTGGGCAGCCAGGTCAGGGGCCGGGACGCAGTGGCACCCGGGCCTGAACGAAAGGAAAACATTTCAGCGCGCTGAGAGACGAAACGCGGCGAGGGAGCGAACGGGGAGGGAGGGAAGGGGCGAGAGAACTGAGCCAGACGGTTTCGGAGGATAAACCCTCGCGGCACTCAATCGCTAATGAGATGACAAGCGAGACACGACCATCTCAACGCTATCCCATGCCACACCCTGCAGCGTTCCACTTTTTGCTGTGTGGGCCGGGGGCCTGGGCAGCCAGGTCAGGGGCCGGGACGCAGTGGCACCCGGGCCTGAACGAAAGGAAAACATTTCAGCGCGCTGAGAGACGCCCGACTCCCGAACGGTAACGTGGCCCCCGGGGCGGACCATGAGGGCACACACCGCACCCGGGGCCGAACACTCAAACTTCATTAACTAACATTGACATCCTGCTGAAACCGATCCAATCCACCTGACATTGAATGATCCTGGCAAAAAACTGACAAAATTTCCTACAGTATGGCTCGGCCCGTCGGGTCCAGAGCATGCCAGTGGACCGGTCAATGCCGGTCAAGACGATGTGACGCTTGCACGAGAAAGTACACATCCCCCCCCGCCCACGGCAGAGACAAGGGGGCGAGGAAGGGGGATGGTGAGGGGCCCAACAGGTCACCCGGGCGCGTTTTCGCCACGGGGCCCCGAAAGAACACATGTCGAGCATATACGTCTTGCAATCGGGTTTGGAGAGCAGAGCGGCCACAGACGGCGCCGCCCAGAGAAACGAAGCCCCAGGGTTCTCTAGATACACTGGGGTGGACAGGCGGCGACACAAGTGAATGACCTTAACTGTAAAACGAATTTGGGCATTTCCCGAGCGGACGGCCTGGAGGGATCTACCCGAGAGCCCCTGGAGCCCAAGAGGGAAGGCCGCGGACCTGAGAGAACACCAGGAGGTCCCGGGGGGGCCGCGCCGCGCCCGGCCCCAGGAGGCACACGGGGTTCCCAACCAGACGGCTCGCACAACTCGAGATTTGAGCCACCCCAGGACCATCTGCTGGACCTCGGGGCGGCCAAGATCATGCCAGGGCCGGCGACCCTGGTCAAAGTCCAGGGGAAGCACGGCCAGGCCGAGAAACGAGATCCGGGCGGAAAGACCACCGGATCCAGCAAAGAGTTCCAAGAAAACAGTGCGAGCTTTCACTACGTGCCTCGGGGCCCTCATGCATGCTTTTAGGTATTGCAAGAGCCTGCGGCAGACCGTGCAGGCGGAGGCGGGACGGCTGCCCCCCTCAGGAAGATCTCGGCCAGCGCCACGTCGACCGCCCGGCCGAAGTCCAGGACCCCGGCGGGAAGCTTCGCCATCTCCGCCAGGATCCGCCCGGGCTTGGCGTACCGCAGGAACGACTGCGGGCTCGCCCAGCCCCCTCGCACCTGGATCTCCAGGGCGGTCCGCCGGCGCGCCACGAGGTCGTCGGAGGCCCCGCCGTGCCGCAGCTGATATGGAGAGGCCAGGGCAAGGCCGAGCTCCTCCGCCGCCGCGCGCATCTTCTGTCCGAGGTCGCCTGGGGGGTAACTCCACAGTCGGTCCTTCAGCGTCCGGCAGCGCCTCTTCAGGGCGAGGAGCGACGGGCCGAGGAAGCGGAAAGTGTCCAGAGGCACTGTCATGTCCCACATGCCCGTCTTGCTGGGTACCCCCATCTCCTCCGGGAAGAGCACCAGCGCCACGACGCCCCCCCTGCCGCTGCCCTCCGCGACGCCCTCGACGACCTGCAGCCCGACGAGGGAGTCCGCCTCCCCGGGCCTCATGTAGGTGCTGAAGCTCAGGATCATCGCCACGACGTGCTCCGCCAGCTGCCACCGCAGGAGCACGCCGGCCAACGCGGCCACCACCAGCCACGGGAGGGGCTGGCGGGAGCGCCGCGGGACGCACTTGCCCCAGCCTGCCAGGGCCCGGGAGCAACGAGGGAGGCTCTCCGTCCCCCACCGGCTCAGGTTCGCCACGAAGAACTTCACCGCGGCCAGCAGCTTGGACGCATCGTCCCCGCTGTACCCTTGGAAGTAGAGCAGGTTGAAGTATCCCACGAGCACGGAGTCGAGCTCCGCCGAGCCCCTCCAGTCCAGGTGGCTCTCGGAGGCCCACGTCGCGAAGGCCTGCGCCCGCCTGCGGTAGTCGGCCAGCACGGGCTTCGAGATCGACCTTTGCTCCAGATAGGTCAACCCCGGCTCCAGCGCCACCTTCGTCGCCTCCCGGCAACGCGCCGCAGCGGCCGACCCCGCGGCGGCCCCCAGCGCGATCCCCGCACCGGGCAGGGCTAGGGGCCGATCCAGCGCGGCAGCAGCCCCCAGTGTCGGCGTGCGCCCTCTCTTCCCCCCCATCACCGTCGGGGGGGCCAGGGCTAGCATCACGAGCTGCAGCAGGCCCGAGCTCCGCGGCCGCCTCCCGCTTCTGCGTGTCGATGCACAGGTGGCCGCGGGATGGGCGGTCGGCAGGGTTGAGCTCACTCGGGACCCACCGCGCGTGCAGCTGCAGGCGGCAGGCCAGCGCCAGCGCGCAGAGCTCGCGCAGCACGCTGCGGAGCTGCGCCGCCGAACCTCGGCCCTTGCCGGCAGCCAGAGCCAGAGACAGGTTGTCCACCAGAAGCACCAGGCGGTGCCCGAAGGCGCCCCGCGATCGCAGCGCGTGCCGCAGCGAGGCGGATGAGGCCAGCCCCTCTGTGTAGTAGATGTCGTGCTTGTCCCGCCACGGGAAAGACATTGCAATCTTCCAGCTGGGGTCCTGCATGAAGGACGCCGGCACCTCGCCGAACTGCTTGTCCAGGTCCTTCGCCGCCTCGCTCGGCAGCGCCGCGGGCCGCCGCAGCGTGGTGGCCACCCCCTCGCCCTCGAGCGCGTGGGCGCGGGCGGTGATGGCCTCATCGAAATGGTACCGCCAGCGCTCCACGGTCCGCCCCAGCGAGGCGGCGGCGCTGCAGCTAGCCTGTCGGACGCAGACTCCGCCGCCCCACGGCGAGGCATCGGAGGCGGAGA